TTATATTATAATAAGAAATTTAAATGGCAGATTTAACACTACTATAAACAACCTATGTTTACTCTTAATTTGATATTTCATTGTTGTTTCAGACAGTGGGAGGAGCCTCTCACTATATAATCAGGAGCTGCATCTCCTCTCCAGAGCTAGCGTGGGCCAGGTTATGATGGTGAACAGACTATTGTCAGGGCCCCCATTAAAGGGGGTTCCACCCAGTGCAAAACTGTTTCTTAATTAGTTCAGTTTAGTTCAGGATTGTCTTGAAGTTGCAGATGTGTATTCCCCGTTTTGTTTCCTTGTAATGCTTTTCTAGTTTCATTTTTCTTTAGTTGGCTCAACCACAGTTGTGAAAAAAGGAATAAATCAATAGGCTTTTAACCAACATTTTTTTTCTGCCTCTGACTCAGACAACCTTCACAGCCTCTAATTTATTTTCTCCATGGTAGGTCAGAGTTCACTCTGCCACTGTTGGTACTAACTTATATGTCAAAGTGGGGTGGCGCTGTTGACATTGTTCTTAAGTGGCAGAGAATTTCAAATTCAGTGTTTCAAACAGCTCAACAAATATCACCTGTGACCTGCTCCCCTTGAGCCACAGCCACCCCAATGATGACGAGTTCATGATGAGGTGAACTGAAGAGGAGGAGATGGACATTTGCTGCCAGGGTGAGACACATGTTGCTTGCACAGTCCTTTGGTGCTGCAGGCAGATCCAGGTACAGAGAGAGAAAAGGTGGAGCTGTTGGTGATATGTAGCACTGTTAATGAATTTTGGAAAGTGAGTTATGTCTAGGCTTAGGTTTTTGTGTCTGTGTTAAAAGGACAGGGATTTACAGAATCCCATTTGTTCAAATTTACATGAATAAATATGATTATGAAATAAGTAATGAAATAAATACATGCTACAATAATTAGCTGTATGAGTTTAGCTTTGAGTAATATGTATGTCCCTAAGATCAACTCACATCAATTCAATTGGCCTAGATTTTGTCAGGCAAAGTTGCAGAACATTTAAACTGGATTATATAGGCTAGGTATCATTACAAAGTCACAGTATATTCAAAGTATTTTTTTATTTATTGCATGAATTCTTAATTAAAGAACAAATAGTCTGATGTCTTGTATTCATTATGAAAGTATACTAAGTACTTTTTGTTTTGATTTTACAACCACATTGTCTTTTAGTATTGTCAATAACACCCTGAATTTGATTTGGTATCAGATTGGAAAGAAATTCAGTGATATTGCACAGACTGTAAATCATCCATGATACATCATGTAACATCTGCTTATATCCTACTAAATTCTGCTGTCTAAATCCACAAAGAGCAGTAAATCTTAGAGGAGCAGCTGTAGTAGCACATGTGAGCTCATCACAGCCTGTATACAAAGAAAATCTTAGTGGAGCTTATTAGTGGAGCACACTAGTTGCCAAACCATCTACTTGGTCCGAACTTTTTATTCAACCAGAGAAAATTGGGAAAGCCAAATTGGAGTTGAAAAAATAAAAGTAGTAAATTCATCCTGCAAAATTACATGGTTATGGTCAACAGCCGCATTAAAACAGGTGAGTCAGAAAAACAACTAACAAATAAAAGACAAATGTCATGAACTCAATGTGAAAGGGTTTTTACACAAGATTTGGATCTGAATTTTATCTTTATTTCTTTTCTTTTTTTTTCTTTTTTTTTTGCCTGTCCCATTTGGTTCATTAGCCGTCAGAATTGTTGTCTGAAGACCAGGATACCCAATGGATTTACTTTGCCAAATGGATCATCGTGGCATTGCCGTATTGGTCCATTTGATCTATCTTTGTTTTTATTGTTTATTATACTTTATTTTCAGATGTTACAGACGGGACAGACATGAGTGAGGGATAGGAAAGGGAGAAAGAAAGAGGAAAGAAAAGAAAAACAGAAGGGGAGAGGGACAGTAAGAAAGGGGGGGGGAGAATCTCCTGGATCAGCTGTTGAGAGAAAAAGAAGAGAAAACAAGCAAAAAACAACAACAAAGCAACATACTAAACACAACACCATCGCATTAATCTAGCTAAGTGTAAACAGCAGTAAATACTAAATATTCAATGTTGTTGTGCAGCACGCAGGACAGACAGCGCACAATGTGCTTTGAAGTAGCAGCCAAGAAAGGTGTAATTTAAGTCTACGAACAGTGAACACCCGTGTGCACACCTGTGTGGATCAGCGTGCTTGTATTCAAATGGTTTCCACATATAATGGTCTGCAAGAGGATGTAGGGAGCCATAGCCCCGTCCCCCAGGGCATGAAGCAGGCATGGAGCAGATCCAGGCCCCAGACATCCAGAGGCCCCAGAGTGCAAGAGCCCAAGGAGGACCACCGGAGGGGCATCCGTGCCACCCTCATGGGAAGGGCTGAGGATCCCCAGACGAGGCGTCACCCAGTAGCCATCGAGCAGAAGCTAGAGGGGGCTGCACCGGCGTGCCTGCCGGCTCTGCCGGCAGCCAGCTGTGCCAGAGTGATCCGAGCCGCAGGCCCGGAGGCCCGAGGGCCCCCCACACCCCGGAGGAGGCCTGACCGAGCAACAGTCGCCAGGCCCCGCCAAGTAGCCACCGGGAGCGAGCTGGTACATACCTGAGTGCCCAGCCCCGGACACCAAGAACCACCACGCCCCGACCCCTGAGGGCATCAGTCACCGGCAAGGAGTGTGGTGAGGGGAGATAGGCCTTGGAGGGCCTGGGAGTTCCCAGAGAGGTGGAGTCTAAGACCCGACCTGACATATAGACACAGACAAACAGGCACACACAGACACAAGCATGCATTCCCACCCTCATGCACACATATACAAACACTCAGCACTCACCCAACGTAAGGATTGACATAAATGGACATGTACACACAATCACACTCCCCAAACATACTCTATACCTCGGGTCCAGGTACCCTGGCCCCCAGAGGGGGAAACAGAACCCAGACCCAAGAGATGTTACCCTTCCCCCCGGGGTGGAGGCAAGCAGACCCGCCCAGGCTCTGCAGCAGCAGGGAGGCCAATCGGACAGCCAACATCTCCTCCCAGCCCCCCCGCCCCGATGGCGGAGGTGTGTGAAGACCCCATACCTCCCTCCTCCCGCTCATGTGTAGTGTTGCTGCGTGTTGTTCTAAAGTGCATTTATTTCTTATTTCTTTCTATTTCTTCTTTTCTATTCTCTATTCTATTTCTATTCTCTTTTCCCACGTGTAAAATCTTACTTTAACTCCAAATCATAAGTACAATTTTGGACCTTCACAGCCCAACAATGGTAAAAGACAGGAAAACAGTGATCCGATTATTTTTACAGGGTTTTTACTTCCATTTTGAAACAGAAAAACAGCTACACATTTGTCCCACTCTTAACCAGATTTCACATCGGACAGCAACATTGGTCTTACTCAACACCAACTTTCTTTACATTCATTCACAGAATGATAAAGTGCAACAGCATCAACACAACTTCATGACAAAAAAGACAGACAGGCAGACAAATAAAAATTTGGGACACTGAACTTTCGGCACTTCAGGAGGAAGCAGTAGAAATTAAAACTGCACATGGTAACTATTAGTAAATGCTGAATATATTTAGACTTCTCTCTGTCATCGTGAACAAGGAGAAACATTAAATAAATAAAAAGTAACGTACATATTTTCAAAAATATTAAATCTTAAGGTACATTCATATAACCTACATATACAGCATATATACCACCAACATGCAAAAGTCACATAAACGCATACATCATAAAACAACAGAAGACAACAGAAGGCACCAGCTTGCAAAACTCAGACATGAAGACAAGAATTAAAGTGAATGAATCACACAAATCCACAAAACAAAAATGTATCCTTCATGTTTCTTTAGTATCCTGGAGTCTAAATATTATTATTTAGAGATAATTATAGATTCTATTAAATTTATCCTTTAGAGTTGTATGAGTATTTCTAATACTTTGAAATAGCTTTTTCTCTTTTATAAGATATGTCAGTTAAACATATAGCAGTAAAGAAAATAAATATCTGTTTGGTAGAGGAAATGAATCACCAAGAATAAATGTTAAATTAAAATACCACTTTAAGCACCAGGTTATAATAGGAAATCTTCATGATTAAGGGTTTTATAACTAATGACTTGTAATAATGGTGCCTGAATCATTTATTCAGATTTAGTAGAACAGAATGAGCTGATGATGAATTCATGTTGACTAGAATCCCTTTGTGGAAAGTTCATTCTTTATTCTGTCAATAAATTCTGTGTTTTATTATGTTTTATAAAAAAAAATGTTAACAGCATTTTCAACAGCAATCCCTGTTATATAGTTAAGATTTTTTTATATCCTGGCAACATAAACATTTGCCCATGCCCCTGATGCCGCCCCCTGTTTGATGAACATGTTTGATAAACATATCAAACATGTCTGTTTGATATCTTAATATAAATCAATAAGATTAATTAATAAAGCCATTTGATACAACCTGTAATTTTTTTATTTACTGATAAAAATAATAATTACGTGTTAGCGAAAAATAAATGTTTTGATAAATATTAACATATATATTTTTAATTCTATGATATTGCATTAACTAACTGCACTGTTAATCCAGGACAGCGTACTTCTTCCAGTAGTAAAATCATGAAAGCCGAAGGTAAATGCCCCTGTATGCTGTGCTCCTGCACAGTGATACCTCAGCTATTTGGATGCATTAGGAGTCTCTTTGTCCTTTGTTCCCTTTTTTACTACTCTCTGAGCGATCCCATATGGCACGTGGCATGCCACTGTTCCCATTTCTGCTGCCCCCTCCACGTGAAACATTTGGTCATCGAAGAAGATATGTGGCCTGATCTTCTCCAGCATTGGGCCTTTGGGCGCGCCGGCAAGAAAGAGAGCTTCATCGATCTCCAGACCCCAGGAGCGCAGCGTTTTTAGGGCTCTGGTACCAGAACTGGCTGCACTCCGAGCTGTCACGAGGTAGGTCCGGATGGGGCAGTCCATCCGCTGACCTTTGCCGTAAAACTTTTTCTGGAGCTTTCCTAAAACCTCCAGGAAGCCCTTCAGTGGCCCCTGCAGAAAGAAGGACAGATTCATGAATGTTAATCTTTCTGCACGTATACGTGACTCACTACATGTTAGACACACTACAACTGAATTCAGGCCAACTGAGCTCAATGTGTAGATTTTACAAGCGGATTTAATTTTACACTGTGTAAAATGTCAGCTAAAAGAAGGAACATCCAACGATTTGCAAATCTCTGAAAACCATATTTTGTATTAGATGTTTAAACTGAGAAACAAAAATCCAAGCTGGGACAGGCCCAACTGCGCAAAATCCTTTCTTCTTTCAATAACGATCTGTAAACATCTGAGAACTGAGGAGAACAGCCGCTGGGCTTTTGGAAGAGGAATGGTGTCCAATTCTTGTTGGATGTAAGATTCTTGTCATGTTTTTCATTTCATGATGCACGGTACACAGAACAGTGGTGTTTAGAGATCACTGTTCACATATGGCTTCGTCCTTGTGTGCTTTCTGTGGATGACACGGTGAGCTGTGTTCACAGACAGCGATTTCTGGAAGCATTCCTGACCCCATGCAATGATTTTCATGACAGAATCATGTCTGTTTTTAATGCAGTGCCACTTGCCTAAGGATCATTCATATCCTGTAATGATTTTCAGCCTTGTCCATTGCGCACTTTTCTAGACTTTTCTTGCCATCTTCACAACTTTTTTTAGACAAGTTACTGCCATCTAACTCAAAATAAGCTGTTTTCCATAAAAGTAAAATGTCTCACTTTAAAAATTGCATGTTTTCAGTGGTGAAACAATGTGGAGATTTTGATTTTCATTTACATTTTACACAGCTTTCCAACTTTTTGGGAATTTGGGTGGCTGTTGTAGGTAGGTGTAATTCTATAAGAAATAAGAGTGTTATTTGACTTTTGGTGTCCCTTCCTATCATTCTCCAATGGAAAAATGTCTCGCTGTGTATACTGTACATGGTCTAGAGGCTTGTTTTCATGCGCCTTCTCGTGCTCAAAGAACTTGTCCAGTCCATGGGCTTTGCAAATCCGCTCAGACTCATCTGAGAAGAGGACGGCATCTCCATCAAAGGCAACACGGAGCTGAGTGTCCGACACTTCCTTCATCTTCTCCGGAGTAAACATGATGGCTGCTGCTATACCTGGGTCACATATTTGACAGCGGTTATCTTTGAAAATTAGCTGTATACATGGACACTGATTATACAGGTCTGCAACCAAAAAACTACATAGGATTTCTTTTTTTTTTTACTGTTTCTTATGGATTTTTACCAATTGAAACCGGGAAAAATATTATTTAAATTCCATCTTGTCAGGTTTTTCTTGCAAAACTCACGTTTTTAGTGTATTTAAGTGAAAATTTCCCCTTTTTAACTGAAATCTGGTATCCTATACTTGAGTAAAAAAAAACATATCCAATAATGATTTCTTATATTAATTTAACCGTTCTGAGAGTGAGACAATTATAAATATCAAGAATATTGACAAGAAATATTACAGACATGAGAATATTAACTGTAACAGGCTGCATACATGGTTCATGCATGCACACTGGTGTCCCAACAGGTTTATTTTGTTCATAGGGAAAAATAAGGAATTTCAGAAAAATTATGCATAGTTAATTGTGTTTTTGTAAAAAAGAAAAAACTGTATGTGATGAAGGGAAATGGATTCAAAACTCTAAAAAACATAAAATTTACCAAAAATATCCCATGCAGCTGAATCTTTTTTTCTGTTTTTTGCAGACCTGTGTTATCACACCACAGAGACTGGCACTTACTTTTTTTCATTTTTTAAGGGACTTTGTTTAGGAGTCAGTAATAGAAGCAGGCTGTGTACTCACCTTCTGCCAGAGCTTCACGAACCTTGACAGGGTCAGCAGACAGGTAAAGATTAGTGTGATAGGCCTTCAAGTATCCTATGGGACTGTTTCCTCCAGTCATACAGAAGCGCTCAATAAACAGCTCTGCAGAAAGGAGAAATCAAAAGCTAAGGAGGCAGTCAGTAACACTGATCATAGATGATAAATTCACACACACACACACACACACACACACACACACACACACATATGTGTGTACTTCCTCTGGAATATATCCAGAGGTGTGTGTCCCTTAAAGTTGCATTATTTTTAAAAGCCACCAGGGGGAGATAATTGTGTTTCAAAAAGACATTTTGCAGGACACTAGCAAAACAATCAAACTACCCACTGTAGTCAGTGTTTATGATTATTATGCTACTTTTTTATTATTCGTAATTTTTTCTTGCTTCTTTCCCATCATGGTGAACTCCACCGGGCTTTTTAATCAGTCAACAATCTATCGGTGCACAGTGTAACCCTTGTGGGTTTACTAGTTGTCAGCTTCTGAAGGATTGCATGGATGTAGCGCAGGTTGCATATTTAATCCTTAACTCTGCATAACCAAATACCTATGCAAACAGACACCAATACAATGCTATGAATTCAACTTCACAGGAACCTGGACTATTTGTTAAAGCGGGCAGAAGTGAGGGGTTTCCATTAATTATACAAACAATGCTACATTAATGAAAACCAATAATTTAATAATGGAGCTGGACATGATTAAAATGGTCACTTTTACTTAACATTTAGTTGCAGAAAATATCCAGAGGAGGCAGAGCCGGGAAAAGAAGGAAAGTGCCATGATTTTGTGATTTTCTTAAGTGAGTATGGTAATGGGGTGCTAAAGAGCCAGGACCCAAACTCTCACCACTTATTATTGGGGTCATACTATGTTACTGGGATCATGAGAAACATCCCACTATAACCACTGTCAGTCTCTATTCATCCAGTGTGGCTCGAGTGACTCCTTAAACTGAGCCGAGTGGAAGTCTATTGACACGCTTCAACCAAGAAATAAACAAAAGGGGCTTCGGTTAAATAGTGAAGCCTCACATTACAAGAGATTCTTAGATTACAGTCAGTTCTTTTCCTCTTCTCTTTCTTTCTATCTGTCCTTTTTCCTTTTATTTAGTCAACAGAGGATACTGCAATGCCTTGAGGAGAGTCTGTGAGCACACTTGTGTGCCTGTGTGACCTGGGAAGGACTTGGGTCATAAAATAACTGACAGTGTGGGAACAGAGGCGGCCAGCTGTGGAGAGCAGCTGGAGAAGAATATGAGTCAATACCAAAGTTCAAAGTTCAGTTTTTATAAAGAGCTAGGCATAAAATTCTCAAATGTATTTTAAGGGTGTATTTGTTAAGGGCTCAGTGGCTCCAGTTACTTGTTACAATCATGTGGAATAAAACAAAAAGTCAGTTTTTGTTATTTTTTTGCTAAATCTGTGTTTCAGAAAGAAGGATTATCCAGGGTATGCTCAAAATCATTAGCTAATGAAATGTCAGTCACAACTCTTTAGCCAGCAAGTGTGCAGTTTCACAGTCAGATCTGCGCCCTGCATTGATCCAGTTGAGGCTTTATAATGATGCATCACAAACCAGGAAGTGATATGATGGTCGCTATGTTGATTGTTTGTAGTGGTTATTTTATTAGTCTGCATCTGTGCATGGCCCTCAAACAGTACATGTTGTCTAAGCTAAGAATGCTAAGTTAACAAGCTCATTAGCATTCTACCCACATCCAAATATGGTCAAGCTACTAGATACAGGTAACACTTTAGTAAGGGTTTCAAAACACATGCCAATAGGTAATATTATGGTGGCTCTGTCCAGCTCTTCTGTATTATCTATTGTTTGAATCCTGTGAGCTTCAGATGTATATTAAATGTTGTATCTACATAAAAGCAAACCTTAATCTTTCCCAAAATGCTGATCAACTGTTTGTGCTTGCTTTTTCATGACTGCTCTGTAGAAATTATCAACAATCATATTTCTACTTTATTTACACCACTTTCTTAAGATATTACAGTGAGTTTTTAAATTGCTCATTTACCTTGAAAATATGAAATGTTTGATTAAAAATTAATAAATTGACACGCATTTTGACTTTTTTTAGATATTTTTTTAGGGGAAACAACGTAATGGAATACTTTCTAATGAATTTTATCTATTAATACCATATTCTTATTTTAATTTTTTTTTTTTTTTGTCTTTTTCTGTAGGTACAACATATGGACAAGACTACTAGAATACATGTACAGGAGCTGCTTATGGCATGAAGCTGAAAATGACAGAGGAGGTTTTAATTCTGGCAGAATCAGCAGAGAACTGGTGACTTTTACACAGTTATGGACTAGAAAAGCGCTATACAAATGCAGGCCATTTACCATTTATACCCCTCAACACTCAGCGAATCCACTTGTGTAGCTTTTCATGGTCTGCTACTTTGTGTCTCAGTTCCTGAAAACATCTGGTTTGTAATAATACCATTTCCAGTTGATGGTGGAATATCTAAAAGTTAAGAAATTTCATCAACTGATTTCTTGCAATGGTGGCATCCTCTTACAGCACCACGCACGAGTTCACTGAGCTCTTTAAAACAACCCATTCTTTCACAAATGTAAAGGCAGGCTGCGTGGCTATGTGCTTGATTTTACAACACCTGTGGCAATGGGACTGAAAACACCTGAATTAAAAGATTAAAAGGTGTGGACCAATACTTTTTATGTATAATGAAAGGTTATGTAACCAAATAATTTAAAAAATGCCATAACCACATATAAATTCTACATGTTGCGCCTTTAAAGGTCTAATTAAAAAGACAACTGCTGAAGAGAACAGATAAAAGGACATGTCACCCAGATGCCCCTGGAACTCACGGTGGTGATTAATGGTATTGATGAGTCTTAGGCCCACATTTGCGTGGTTGTTGGTCATGAGCACAACATCAAAGAGCTCCTCGCTCTCTGGGTAAAGCTCCCTCAGTTTAGCGTTCACAGCCTCCAGAGCCTGGGAACACGAGCAGACAGGTTTCAGTTATACAAACAGGGTAATTCTGTATCCCCGCAGTGGGATGGAAACGTGTGAATGTGTTTGAGTGGGTTTGTGGTTGTGGTTTGTATTCATCCACCGCCTCCGGAGACACGACCTAACACTGACAACAGTGAATCTCTCTCTGCGTTAGTGTGCATGTGTGTGTGTGCTTGTTTCTCCAGCTCTTTGCCTTCCCAGTCTCTGACCTTGACAAAGGAGAAAGCAGGTCCGGGGCTGAACGGCTCCGTTTCGTGCTCCACTTGGTACTTGATGTACTCTTCCATGCCTTGCTGTTCATAGATCTGCTGCTCCTTCTCCATGTTGAAGAGGACTCGAGATGACACGGCGATGGTGATGGCATTTTCAGGCTTTGGCTGGAGCGTGAATGAAAGGAGCATTCTGAATGAGAGGAGCTGAGATTGTTACCCAGTTGGGTAGAGAGCTGTATTTTTTTTCTTGAACGTAGGCACAAGGGACATTATAATTTTATAAGAACATGCACAAGATCCTGATGAAACCTTGATGTTATTGACCTTGCCTGGCATGCAACAGTAGATAAACTGAGTGAGCTGATGTGACAGAATAGAAGTGACAGCATGATATAACATACTTTCCTCAGAGCCTGATAGTGTAGGTCCAAACACCAGAAGGGCTGACACCTGTTAACTCTTTAAAGACTGAGGCGTTTAAATTGCTTGCATAATCTGAAAGGTTTCCTTTTGTGTAAATACTTTGGTGTTTATGAGTCCACTAAACTTAGAAATATGCTGTCACACCCTTTTATTTAATTGACAGCACGAAGAAATCGACAGGATGAAAAATATTCAGACTACTTAAAAAGTATTAATCGAATCAGGACATATTTCTGTCAGATTCCCAGGTTAGACAATTCTTTGTGTTCTTAATGCGCTTTAAGTTTTAGGTGTTTCAGTTTTTAACCCTGTAAGTTCTGAATCTTCATCTATGTTTTGGAAGAAAGCAAAAAAAACAGAACTGTATATTCAAAGGAGCTTGCAAAGAAAAGCGTCTGGACTTCTTTAAGTTGCTTGAAGACGTTTCACCTCTCATCCGAGAAGCTTCTTCAGTTCTAAGGTCAAATGGTGGAGAGTCCCAGATATAAACCCTGTGGGAGTTTCCCCCCACAGAGGGACAAAAGCACCCCCTGATGATCCTCTAATCGCCTGAGCCAAGGTGTGAAACTGGGTGTGGGTCCCAATCAGCCAGAGTCTTCAAGTAACTTAAAGAAGTCCAGACGCTTTTCTTTGCAAGCTCCTTTGACTACGATGACCTGGATGACTGAGAACCTTCACAGACAGAACTGTATATTATGATTGCAAAGATTAGGGTTAGCGCTAAGGCTGAGGTCATCACCGTTGATGACTTCGACCTGGCAGGGTGAAATTTCGATTCTTCCCCTCCAGAAAAAAAGTCCAAATGAGGTCACTTTTACTGACCCGAAACAAGATCAGTCTCCAGGCAACACAATACAGCCACGCCATGCCTCCTATACTATCCTGTTTCACTGAACTACATTGTTATGTGCTTTTATTTTCAGTTAACCCAAAGCTATAAATGATGCATTGCAGACCTGTTTCAACCCTCCCCCTGGTTTTGAGAATGTTGAGTGGCTCTGTGTGTCTGCACTCTGTCATTTGTCATCCATAAGATGACATAACTCTTTGACACTACAGGCAAGAATAGTGAACATGAATCTGCCTTGGCTGATAAATAAGAGTACAATTGTCACGCTTTAATTTTAACTTGAATTATGTGCAAGGATAATCTCCTTTTGCGTTGTATAATTAATAGTACCCGTTCTGTAAGTGTAAATGGATACTGTAAACAAAAGGCTGTATAGATACTCACTGATTTAGGTTTCCTGGTGGGGGTCGAGGGCCTCAAAACTGTCCTCGCATCTTCCCAAGGGGCTCGGCTGCTGTTGCCTCCATTCTTGGTGAAATCTTGTCCGCCAACATTCAGACTTTGGCCGTTGTTTAGACTCATCTTACCTCTGTGGTTCGCCACTCTCCTCCAGGACCACACTGAGCCCTAGCGTTTCCCCTCGATGGCTCACTTTATTAGTACCCTTCTCTCTCTCTGGCAGGAGTTCCCAACAAAGTCCTCACTCACTCTCACACATTTAGAATTTGAATTCAGTCTTGCTGCACTCAAGAGATGAGATCAGCCTGATTGCTGCAGCTGCAGAGCCACTTAGCTATAATGTAGCTCTAATAAGGCCGGAGCAGCAGGGAGAGGTTGCAGGACGAGGATGGAGAGAGATTCAGGAAAAGGGCTGAATTCGAGCTGCAAGCACTTCCCTTTTTGTCTCTAGCATCACGTGTGTTAGGACATTCCTTCCTCAGCTCTTCCTTGCTTCTCTTTCCTCTCTTACACACACATTACTGAATTCAAACCATTTTGCATCCTCCTCCTCTTTGTTAACCCTTTCAGTGTCTAACTTCCTGGAGCAGTACTACAGCACGTGAGAAAGTGTGTGGCAACTGCTTGTTGCTGCCTATTGGACAGAGCACGCTGGTGTGTCAGAGGAGGGATGTGTCACAATGCTTGAAATATAGCCCTCCTTGCCTAGAGATGTAGAGATCTGACATAACACAGAGTACAACATTACAGCTATGATTAGGGCTGTGATTATAATAATAATTATTGTTGTTATTATTATTAGTGCATTTTATTATTATATTAGATTTAACTGCAAGAGTAATTATGCACATTGCATCCCATGTGTTTTCCACTCACCACTAACATTTCCTGCTCCTGTTCAGCAGTGTGAGAAATCGAGTCCATCCTGGGTCATTTACTCTCCCCCATGCTTTTACAAATAATGCCTCCTTGCCTCCTTCCCATTTAATCCCTTGAGGATGTTTCCTTGGATTGAATTACAAAGCCATGGTCGCAGTTTCCAAGCAACGGCCACAGAGTCAGACAGGCTGGGACTCCAGCACAACATCTAGAGCTGATTGGCTGTGTGGACACAAGAGGCAGTGCAGCCCGCCTCCCAACAAAACACTGACATCAGTCAGAGGAACAGGCAGGTGATGCAGGAAACAAAGATGAAAGTGCATGTCGTGCTTTGAAGAACATGAATGCATTATTAATAGTGTTAGCTGGGCTTTCATCACAGCAAACAGGCAATTCAGCAGCTAAAGATGTTTCTGGGAAAACGATACTGAGCAGACGCCCATGCAAGGAGTAAAACAGACCCGCATCCTATCAGACTCCTATTGGATACAACATGCATCATGGCTGTCATTTTTAAATATCTACGAGCAATATACAAAGGCAACAAAGACTGACTGTTGACTTAAAAAAAACCACATGCACATATTTTTAACCACATACACATACAAATCTTAAACGTGTGTGTGTGTGTCTGTCTGGGTTAAATGTGTGTTATATTTTACAGGAACTGACAACCAAATTGCATAAAGCTGCAGATCAGGGTTGATTACACTTATCTTTCCAATACAGCAGCTCACATGATTACGCTCCCCGACCGGATAATATATGTGTAGCTGTGACCACACACGCTCCTCCACGTACCAGACACAAAGAGCTTTTGTTGATTCTCTGGATTACTATTATGGATTGAAGACAACTAATGGATTTTTTGGCTCAGTGTGTGTGTGTGTGTGTGT